GACGGGGTCTCGCTCTTGCTCAGGCTGGTCTCGAACTCCTGACCTTGAGGGATCCACCCGCCTTGGCCTCCCAGAGTGCTAGGATTACAGGCGTGAGCCACCGCGCCCGGCCAGTTGTGTGCTTGTTAACTACTCCTGGGTGTCTTCTTGGGTCACATAGTGTGCGCTCAAATACATTAGTTGGGAGGATTTTTTATTATTGATATGTGGTTTCAGTTATAATTACTTAAAAATCTATAAAATATTTTCTTATTTTCTTTTAGGAGCTTACTCCACAGGAGCAATCTGTAGATAATCTGAGTTGTTGATGGTACGAATCCTATTACGAGCCGACAGAGACTGACAACAGCGATGTTCTGAGGCCTGGCTGTCTGCTCGACCAACAGATTTCATCGGCTAGGGTTTTCTGTTGTGTTTAGGGTTGTGGGGCAAGTGTCCAAGCTCTCAGTGTTGGGGCAGGTAAAGTACCAATACTGTTACACAGTGGCAACAACATTTTAACTTAGTAAGTTTGTATTTTCTATTTCTAAGGAAATAGAAAATTAGTTATAAAGAAACTGATATAAAGTAGTCTTCGTATTTATTTGACATACACTGCACCCTTCATATCAAAGGGGTTCCGTATCTGTGGTCTGCATCCTTGGATTTGACCAACGGCAGATTGAAAACATTGAGGGGAAACAATAAAAAAACAATTAAAAATACCAATTTTAAAAAAGCAATACAATATAACATCTATGTACATAGCATTTACGTGTTATCATGTATTATAAGTTTAGTACTTTAAAGATGGTTTGAAGGGTGTGGGAAGATGTGCATAGGTTGTATGCAGATACTATACCATTTTATGTAGGAGACTTAAGCATCTACAGATTTTTGTATTGGGGGTTCCTGAAACCAATCCCCTGAGGACACCGAGGGATATTTATATTCTAAATTTTAGCCCAAGGTTTTTAGATGAATGTTTAATCATCTGTTAAGAATTTAATTCTGAGTGGTCCTTTATTTTTACATTGGTTATTTTGTTAGTGCATATACATTGAAATTGTATATAATCTCTTTGATGAAAAATGAATTATATAAAGCAGAACTCTTCCTGCAGAAAGCCATCGCCAAGACAGCAGGTATTGGGCTTCTTTCTCAGCCTAGCACGAGTTCCACCAGCGCTCAGTGCTGGACGGACAGCAGCCGCATGCCCTTCTAGGCAAAGGCTGGTGCAAGCCCCTGAAACTGCATCTTTAGTAGAAATCTTCAGTGTTGTGTGAAAATTGACCCTCTTTTAAGATCTCTGTCAAATTTGCTGCAAATTTGTTGGTTTACCCAAGCAGAAAACTGTTTTCCTAAAAGTAAAATTTCTAGTGTGAATGAATAAACAGTTATAATCGATGTGGTTTAGTAACTATTCTGCCCTCTATGTTTCTAAAGAGCATAGTATCTACTTTTCATGTTACTTCTCTACATTTAAAGCCCACAATCTTTTTTTTTTTTTTTTTTTTGAGACAGAGTCTCACTGTGTTGCCCGGGCTAGAGTGCCGTGGCGTCATCTTAGCTCACAGCAACCTCAAACTCCTGGGATCAAGTGATCCTCCTGCCTCAGCCTCCCGAGTAGCTGGGACTACAGGCATGCGCCACCATGCCTGGCTAGTTTTTTCTATATATTTTTAGTTGTCCAATTAATTTCTTTCTCTTTTTAGTAGAGATGGGGTCTCGCTCTTGCTCAGGCTGGTTTCGAACTCCTGAGCTCAAACAATCCTCCCGCCTCGGCCTCCCAGAGAGCTGGGATTACAGGCGTGAGCCACCGCGCCCGGCCTAGCCCACAATCTTTTGAGGTCAGCATTGCCTCCAGCCCAGGTGACCAAAGAAGTGATGTGGTTCTAGCCTCAACGGCTTCTGCGTGGTGACCTGGGAGTGTGTGATGCAGTTTACAGGACGCAGAGGTCACTGTGAGGCAGTATCTACGGCCGGACAGGAAAGGGGGAAGTAACAACATTTAGAGGGAAGCAAAAAAACCAAACAAAAGGTTGCAAATAATTTTAAGTTTTGTGTGTTTTATATTTTTTAGATTTTCGTTTTATACCAGTCCTTCCCCTAGGATGGAACTTGGTGTAAAATCAGAGTCATCATTAGCATTTAAATGTGATTAAAGCTTGGGCAGCTTGGAAAAGAATTCTCAAGGTATATACTGTCTTTTTCAGGTTTCGTCATTGTCAACAAAAGTAAAAATTTCACGGACGTGATGCTTTAGTAATGTGTTAAAAAAGCGAGAGAGAGTAAAGAAGGACACCGTACAACTGTCACCTAGGTCAGTACTCTCTAAGTGTCTGTCACTGCTAATAATATCTCTGAAACTCAGTGGACTAAAAACAGGGCCCATTTTATATCTCACACCCTGTGGGTCAGGAGTCCAGGCGATCCTTCTCTCGCTTGGCGCCCAGGAGGGTTGCTCAGCACTCAGCCAACCGCAGTGAATACTGGCGTGGAGGGTGTGAGACAGCGTCTCTCCTGGGTGGCCCTGTGTGATCTCTCCAACAGGGTCACGCAGCCTAGGGCTCCAAGGTCCAGGATAGACTCGGGTCCTTTTGCAGGCGAGGCCCAAATGGACACAGCATCGAGTTCGCTGGGTTCGTGGGTAGGGCGGCTCAGCTCCAAGGGAGTGCCCGGGAACGTATGTGGCGTCTGAGCTGCCACACCAGTGTGTCGATCTTGATGTTCGGGTAGTGGTGTTACACCACTTGTGGGGCTAATTATTTCATATTTTTCACTACTGCCTGTCTTGTAAAGCTTCGTGCTAAGCACTTAAATAGCTAAATTATATATATTTGACTTCCTAGCTATGTAGTACTTAACTATTAAAAATGTTAGTACACAACTATTAAAATTTTCTTCAGGAACTACCTCAAATCATCTCAGACCACACTTTGGGAAACACTGGTCGGAAGGACTTAGTTTATGTGCAGCTCCACTTTTGTGGGTAGAAAATCGTTCTGTTGTGTCACTGCTTATAAGTTGACATTTGGGGGGGTGGTGCTCCCTCTTGGATGTTTTCGCTTGGCGGTTCGTTGGCCGTGACCTGACTGCGTTTCATCATTAGGTATGGATGATAAAGGCGACCCGAGCAATGAGGAGACACCTAAGGCTATCAAACCCACGAGCAAAGAGTTCAGGAAAACATGGGGTTTTCGAAGAACCACTATTGCGAAGCGGGAGGGTGCAGGTGACGCAGAGGCCGACCCTGTGGAGCCGCAGCAGCACAGCCTGTCCTTGAGGCGCAGCGGCCGGCAGCCCAAGCGCACGGAGCGGGTGGAGGAGTTCCTCACGACCGTTCGGCGCCGAGGAAGAAGGAGCATCCCTGTCTCCCTTGAGGACTCCAGCGAGCCAACGTCTTGTCCAGTCACAGATGCCGAAACCGCTTCGGAAGGGAGCGTAGAAAGCACTTCTGAGGGTAGAAGTGGTCCCAAGTCTGGCTCCACTCGTGGGAAGGAACGACCGGCCTCTTCAGAGAAAGCCAAAGGAGGTGATGATGAGGACACCACCTCTGATAGTGACAGTGACGGACTGACCTTGAAAGAGCTTCAGAATCGCCTTCGAAGAAAGCGAGAGCAGGAGCCCGCCGAGCGGCCCCCGAAAGGCATCCAGAACCGCCTGCGGAAGAAGCAGCGGGAGGAGGATCCCACAGAAACGGTGGATGTCCAGGCCGGCGGCGCTGTCGAGAGCGCACTGCCCAGCAAGCAGGAGCCCCGGGACGAGCAGGGGGCTGCGGGCCAGGCTGGGAATGGTGACAGTGAGGCAGAGGGGACAGTGGCCCAGGGAGTCAAGGAGGAAGAACGTGGGGACCCAGGCAAGCCTAAGCCTGAGTGTGAGGTGTACGACCCCAACGCCCTGTACTGCATCTGCCGCCAGCCTCACAACAACAGGTAGGTCACAGGGGCCCAGGTTTCTCAGAAGCCCGAGCAATGAAAGTAGACAATTTTCCATTTGCCTTGATTTGAAGAGTGACAAAGCTGGGCTGGATGAGTGAGTAAACTGACAACGACGAACAAGTCATTGTCGATAAAGAAGTGTGAGGAGGGGGTAAGGACCGCCTGGAGCTTCCTGGGGCTCCACTGTGGTAGCTGCCAGCCACACATGGCTGATTGCAGGCAGCATGGCAGTGTGAGATGAGACAGCCACGTGTGGTCAGTGGCTCTTGTGTAGACAGCACAGGGGAGAGCATCTGTTGTCCCAGGGACCTGTGTCAGAGAGCACTGCTCTAGACCGTTTCTCGAGAGGCCTAGCAGAGGGTCATGCGCACACCGTGAGTTGACCCTACTGCAGACATTTGGGCGACACAGAGCCTTTGCTGGGCTGGGTGCTGGTGGCACGATGGAGCCTCCGCTGGCTTGGCGGTGGGCAGAGGTATTGTTGCTGCTTTCTGGAGACGCACACTGAAGCTGTGTGGGGTGGAAAGCCTTAACGCCTGTAGTCCACTCTTACAAGGCTCTAGTCAAAAGAAGGATGAAGCAAATTTGGTTGAATGTTAATAAAATCAAGAGCATATGGGTGTTCTTTATTTTTGTTTAATTTTTCTGTATATTTGCATTTTCTCAGAATGTCAGAACCAACTTGATTTATTGTTGACAAGTATGCATTTAGCACTCACTTCTCGTTCCTGACACCACTGCTCTGTCATTTCAGGTTTATGATTTGCTGTGACCGGTGTGAGGAATGGTTTCATGGCGACTGTGTGGGCATTTCCGAGGCGCGAGGGAGGCTTTTGGAAAGGAATGGGGAAGATTATATCTGCCCCAACTGTACCATCCTGCAAGTGCAAGACGAGACTAACTCGGAAACCACAGATCAGCCAGAGACTAAGTTCAGGCCCGGAGATACCGACGGCACCGACTTCACAAGCATAGGGACGGTGGAGCAGAAGTCCAGTGAGGACCAGGGCATCAAGGGCAGAATTGAGAAGGCTGCACATCCGAGCGGCAAGAAGAAGCTTAAGATCTTCCAGCCTGTGAGTGTTCATCGTGGGCAGGCATTGAGGGCAACCTTGCGGATGGCAGACTTGCCCTGGGTAGGAAGGGCTTCCTGGGGCTGCACTGAGCTCCGTCTCCTGCCTCACCCCGTCTGCCTCCTGTATATTACCGACTTAGTTTTTGTAAATTAGCCTTCCGTCAGTATTCTTGCTGTCCGTGTGTGTTTTATGTACGTTACCAGATTGTCTTTGGGCTGTTGCAGTAACTATACCCCCCGCACCCTCTTCCAGCGGGTGACAAGCCCAGAGAGCTGGTCCCTGGGGTATTGGTGCACAGGGCACGGTTTCTCCACCTTGCGGCCCCGTCGACTGGCTTCTCCTCCCACCTGGCTGTGTGCTGCTCTGGGCCGAGATTCTCATCACCTTAGCTTCTGTTAGGAGAGCGTCTCGGGCTCCCAGAGTTCCCCTCCCGCCTCCTGCACTCTGGGCCTTCCATGGTCCTCGGGCCACGCGTGCCCTGGCCACCTGTCCACTGGCAGTTGTCAGGTGTACAGAGGCTTTGAGATTGCTGTGTCTAGAAGCATCTCTTGCACTGTGTCAGCCGCGAGGTGGAAGTGTGATGATTGGGCCCCTGAAATGAATGTGCTCTAGAAGTATTAGAGGGACTCAGTGGAAATACAGCGTTAGCTGTTGAGATCATTCTAATGTTTAGTCATTAAGAAATTAAAGGGTATGTAAATTAATGGGAAAAGTCATCAGTTTTTATGTCTTTGTTGTCCATGTGTGTGACATAAGCCTAAATTTTATTCTAAGTAAAACTTAGATACTATGGAGGAAAAACAATTATGTTAAATGTTTAATTTGAGAATAAGTTTTGCTCAAGTACATTTGAGGGACATGTTCGTGTGTGTTTAATAGTGGCCCTGGAACATACTTGAGTAGCTGTGAACAGAAGCGACCAAGTATACTTCTTTGGTTTGTCATTTCCTATTGCTGCAAAACAAATTACCACAGACTTGGCTTTAAACAGCAGCATTTATGGTCTCAGTTTCCATGGGAAGCCTGGACACGGCTTAGCGGGGCCTCTGCTCAGCATCTTGCCCGACTACAGTCGGGCACGGCTGGGTCTGGGACCTCCTCAGGCTCGGCGAGGGGCAGACTCCCTGCCAGAAGCCCTCGAGTGGCTCATCCGTAAGCCCCATGCAATTTTTGTGGCATACTTATACTGAAAAATGATTCATTGTTTACGTGAAACTGAAATTTGACTCGGTGTTCTTGTATTTTATTTGGCAACCTTGCCCAAGGTCCTAGCCATAGGTGGTCCTCTCCACACAGGGAAGCTTCAAAACCCATCCTGGAGTCTTCTCTCATCAGGAAAGGCCAGCCCCTCTGCTGAGAGTTTCCACCTGATTCAGACCCTTTTGATGCAGAATCAGCCTATTCTGGGCCTTATTTACATCTGCACAATCCCCGCACATTTGCCCTACAGCAGAACCTAATTGTGGGTGTGAAATCACACCCTGGTCACAGAGCACAGGGTCCAGAGTCCTTGGGGTCACCTTGGGGTTCTGCCACCACAGGAACCGTAAAATGGGAGTGCTCTGCAGAGAGGTAGATTCATGGCGCTTGAGCAGATGAAGATAAGTTTTTCTTCTGATTCAGAAATGGCCTGGTACTATAAATAGTGATTTTACAAAATGCTCTTAACTGCCAAAACTGGCGAGTACATCGTTTGAATTCTCCTCTTTTGTTCTGCAGGTTGTAGAGGCTCCTGGTGCCTCAAAGTGCATTGGCCCTGGGTGCTCCAGCGTGGCACAGCCTGACTCGGTTTACTGCAGTAATGACTGCATTCTTAAACATGCTGCAGCAACCATGAAATTTCTAAGTTCAGGTAAAGAACAAAAACCAAAACCTAAAGAAAAGATCAAGATAAAGCCAGAAAAGCTCAATCTACCAAAATGTAGTGTTCAGGTAAGTTGACCAAGTCCAGCTGTTTTTATTTGCTGACTGTGGGGACGGCCTGTTCAGACATAATGCAGAGAGTATCACTTTTCCTTTTGCCTTTCGCTTCTCACTTCTCCCACCAGTTTTCTTTCTCTCCCCTCCCATCAGCTGAGGGATTGGTTAACACAACTGAACAAAGCTGTGCAGGCAGCTGGCTGCTGCGTGGAGGGTTCCGTCTTTTTGAGAGGCTGGTGACCACCAGTGGGATTTATGTGGAAAGTGGCTCTCGGGGCAGTTGAAGGGTGTGTCCTGGGCAAGGCTGTGTGCTTCATTGAAGACCCAGCTCTCACAGTTGTCTCGTTTGCACGCTCCATGTGATTTTGGAAGAGTCCAGGGGTGTTCAGAGATCACACACTCTTGTCTTGGGCCCTTCCTTGGGCTCTATGTGGCTATGTCAATGGCCCCTGTCATGTTTGTGACGATGCATAAATTAGCACTATTTGGGGGGGGGAGGGTTCCTGATTATTTTCACATGCTTATTTAGCTTTTAGATGACTTAATTTTTAAGGCTGTGATAATCTTGAATCATAAAACTTCCAAAGAAGCAGTTGCTGCTGGGAGCAGCCTAGACCTTGCTGCCATCCCAGAATCACCAGGTTTCCAATTAAGAACACAGCAGGACCATTTGTGCACCCATCTTCTTGCCATGTTACTGTGCCCTGCTCCCCATCCCTCCGCCCATGTTGGGCACAGCCTCACACACAGACCTGTCCCCTTTGCTTCACTTGGTCTCATTGCCTCGCTCAAGGCAGCCTCATACCTCAGCAGGGTTACTGATGATTCTGTGTCAGGGACCTTAACACCACTCAAATACTTGAAATCCCAACTATTACCCAGGAATGCGAAGGGCCTGCGGGGTGTGCAAGTGTAGCCAGACTGCTGCTGAGCAGGCGCCGTGTGTAGGCTCGGGACGGGTGGGATCTCAAAGTGACCTTCATTGCGCAGTGAGAGGAGGTGGTGAACGTATGATTTCTGACCTTCTGAATGATTGGGATTGTATTGATTATCCAGGCAGGCATTAAAATCTCTGCTATGCACAAGAGACCAGCTCCAGAAAAGAAAGAAAACATGGTGAAGAAGGTGATGGTGGCCCTGTGCAGGAACGAAGCCCTGGGGAAGGAAGCCACCTGTGAGAGCAGCACGCCATCGTGGGCGAGCGATCACAATTACAATGCAGTGAAGCCGGAAAAGACTGCTGCTCCCTCGGCATCACTGTTGTGTAAATGTACGTATCACCCAGGGGGTGGCCTCCTGCCCCCCTCCCACTCTCTCTGGATAGCCCTCCCCCAGGCCGCCGAGGCCCGGGAGTCCCAGCTGTGCTCTGGCGCTGGTTGTGAGCACCGGCTGCACCGTCCGAGCTGGAAGCAAAGCCCGTGTCCACGACGCCTCCTGACCCCGTGCTTCTATCCCTGGTCCGTTGGGACTTTGTCACTGTTTTCAAAGAGCTGTACGAACCTCCTTGGCAAGTGTTCTACCTTGACAATTGAGTTCTCTAACCTTTGTTTTCATTATCAGGCCCTGGTAAGTGTGTGTATCACCTTCAAGTCTGATTGGGTGGATACACTGCCCAGCATTCAAAATTCATCACCGTCCAAACGCCAGTCAGTTTTATTACCCCGCGTAAACTTCAGGAGTTTTTCCACATTATCGACTTTCGGCACATAAAATCATCACTTCTTTTGTGTGCTGTGGGAATCTGTCTGCAAATTAGTATTGCATCTGATACTCAAGTGAGGTATGATTTTCAGGAGTTAAAAGTATTTATTTTTCACTGGACACAGGCATTTTTCGTGTCCAGTCCACATGCTGCACACCCACATGAGCACACGCTGGAGTTCTGAAAGCCCGTTGCTGCTGCGTAGTAGGTCCCGCGGTGAGTGAGGGCCACGTGCTTTCACACTTGAACGGTGCCCTCACCAAAGCTACAGTGTCCTGGGCTTTTGGTATCTGACTCTCCTCTTGAATATTTAGACTGTTAAAGGTCGTACCCTGCCCCAAATTTCAAATTGATGAAATGAAGGTATTTCAGATAGATCTTTGAAACCCCAGATTAGATCCTGCACCTTGAATCTGCTTGTTCTTGTTTCTCAGCCTAATGCTCCAAAGATAAGTTTTAGGGATTAAATTAGGTCCATAGGGTACATCTTCCTCTGCTATTTGCAGTTCCATTTTTATTTGTGCTATTTATAGTGCATTTTGTGCTTTTATAAAAAGCACCAAAAGGTTAAATAGCCCTAAATTCCAAGATTATAGAAGTGTGCCACAGTTTCCTTTGAGTGGTCCTCTTAACAGATCACCTGAGGAGGTGCTTGTGCAGGTAGCTGCTAGAGATGGTGTGGTTAAAAAAAAACACATAACTTCGTTTTGATAATGTTAACGGACGAAGAACTGAACAATGGAGTCACAAGGAAATGGAATTAACCACTTGCTCCATTATAATGAATCTCAATACACTTTAGGTTGTTTGAGCTAGGACTTTTATGGTAACAAATACTATGTCTCAAACATTCATCAAATTACAGCAGCTCTACAAAACAGCACTGTTACAGAGCTAACCTACTTAGAAATAAGCAGCCCCTGTCCGAGTGGGTAGGGAGTGCTTTGTGACCCTGCATTAAGTGCCTTAAGTCGGCTATAGGCACACGACGGGGAAAGGAAAACCAGGGTGTGACCAGAGTGCAGGTACCTGGGTGATAATTTCAGGTCAAATAATTTCTGTATGTTTCAACCAGAATCGGAAAGCTGTCCCTGAGACTCCACATTTGTGGAGTCTAGGGAGACTCGTGCATTGGGGCCGATGGGGGAACGATGGACTCTGATCCCTGAATTACTACCTCGCACCCCACTCTCGCTGAGGGCGACTCGGGACAGCAAGGAGGCTGCTGCGTCTTTGGGGTTTGCTTTGACCTTTCTCACCTCCGCCCTTCTTGTGACACATCAGCTCCTTATGGAAGCTGATACGCTTCAGGGACAGGAATTTGGGGCAGATTAATAACTGATTAACCTTTCCAGCACATCTACATCTCATCTCAAGATTAAAATTGATGGTTATTCTGAATTTACACATGACATAAGTAAGGGACACACTTTTGAGCTGGTCACCTCTGATCCTTTTCTGTTGTCCCAGAAATGTCACCTTTGCACAGGGTAGCTGGGAGGAGGGCAGGGACATCGGTGAGTGAAGCTACCCTGTCTCTCCCTCTCTCCCCAAAACATCTCTGCACCTCCTCCCAGGCAGGGTGGGGGGCACCGCACACTCGGCCCACCAGAATCTGCGCCCCAGATTTTCCTGGTGGGGTGGGATGTCGATTGAGGCTGGTGCCGGGTCTGTCTCCAGTGGGTTTTCTTGCGAGGTGACCCACGCTGCACCCAACGCGTGTGGCGAGAAGACCATGGAGGCTGCACTGCTGCCGCTCCCTGAGGTGCCAGCGTCCTCCTGCCCCTGCGCCGGGCTCCTGTCCAGCGGGCGGCCTCGCTGTGCACGGACGCTCTGCTGCTGCTCTAAGGAGGGAGCGCCACCCGGTAGAGTATCGTAGATCCTTCACGTCCTCACGTTCCTCCAGTTTGTTTATAGAAATTGTTTTTTAGGATTTCTGTACACTTTTCTTTAGCTTACGGAAACAGTTGGCGTTTTATTTATTTCTCCCTGGGGTCATGATGTTCCTTTTGTGTTTTTATATCCTTTTCCATATTTTTTCTTTTTATTTCCACTGTTGGTGCACCTCCTGTTATTGTCAAGGTATCAAGTGGGCTCAAAATTTTTTTCTAAAGTGTTTCTGATTTATTAGAATGTTGAAATGGAATTCTGGTATTTATAGGCACAATTCCTAGTATTTTGGACTCCCTAAATGGTTCTCTTATAAGTGACTTAAAACACTGGGGATCTGGACAGTTTTTGACCAGAAAACAGATTTCTACAGTTCATTTCATCTAGCTGCGGGAATTAAAGTGGAAAACCTTACCCACCTGTAAATCCCAATCCAGATGACTTATTACGCCTTGCCCAGGTAGAAGCCCTTCTCCTGGCTCATGTGCCTGCCACAGGTGGCGAAATGGATGGAGAACACAGATTTTCACCAGGATAACTCGTGGCCTGGGCTCCAGCAGCACTTTCACTGAACCCCTGAGAGGAGCAGTTTCATGTAATAAATGTGGGGGGGCTCTAGAGCCTCACTCGGGTCTGTAGGGGGGTGAGCGTCTCACCGGTTCCATCACCGTCTTACCTGTCTCATCCAGAGCTGCCGGTGGCAATAAAACGCCATTGGGAGTAACCAGACTTCGTACATCCAAACCAGTCTCCTCCCAATTAGAATATCAAAATTTGTACTGAGAAAGGATTTAGCTTGACAGCTGTTTTTTAATGTTGCTCATACATCTGGAATTTTCTTGGTTGTCAATAATAACATTCTTTGGTATTTAAAGTGTTTTACTCTCTATAAACTTTAAAAAGGAGCCTACTGTTCATGACATTAAATCGTGGAAAAGTTTTGCATCCATCTCTGTCAAGTTGAATCTGCAGGTGAAGTCCCCTCAGCACTGTCCTGTGGCATCCTCCAGTCTGCTCCTCAACTGTCCCTCTTGGGCTTCAGCCGCCTTGGGGAGGTGGGGTGAGGGGGTAGAAGTTTCTAGCAGGATGGTCCCGCTAAAGTCACCACCTCTTCAGTGACCTTCATATAACCCTGGAGCTGTGGATCTGCTCTAACACTCTTTAAAGATTAATACTCTAGGAAAGTCCCTTTGGTGGCATTATCTTGTCATAGCACGCAAGGGTCACCTCTGAAGATAAGCTGCAATGAGTCTTCCGGTACACGAGCTTCAGGTATATTCGTATGAAGTTGTAAAATACTTAACATTTTTGGTTTTTTTTGTTTGTTTCTGTTACACATCAACATGCACATAGTTATAGTCTTAGCTTCTAAAAATTAGAGAAGTAAACTTGGAAGATTGATGAGAATTTCTGCTGCTCTCATTTATATAAATGAAGGTTGGGGCAACTTTCATTTGCCAAGAACCTGGAGGAGTCCGACAGGAGGAACGTAAGGTAACCGGCTGCGCATACCTGCGCTGTGCTCTGCACGGTGCGCTCGGCTTTGGGGTGACCTGCCCAGTGTGACCCTTTGGGAGGGGGCAGCATGCGGGCGGGCACGTGGCTGTTCCGACATGCCCCTGCCGTGCTGGGTCAGGTAGTGAGCAGTGTAGGCACAGACGCTGTTGGTTGAAACATACCCTTACTCTCAGGTGTTCAGGGTGCCTGTCACTGGTTTGGGAGATCCCCTACGAGCAACAGCTCAGCTCCCAAATGAGTCCTGGGTTCGATAGGCAGGCACACACTTTATAGCTGGAATTGCAGTTGAGAGGGACACCCGTCTACGATGTGGTCCTCGTCACATTTCACTAGTGATCGAAGTATAATTCGTATTACCAACCCAACATGGATCAGGCTTTAATTTAGTTTTCAAAGTACCATATGTGGGACTGTCAAACCAAGGAAGGGTAATTTCCTCCAGGTATACAGCTGCTTTTTTGCAAGTTTTTTGAGAGTTCTACACCTCTCCATAAAGGTGAAGTTAACTCAGATACTGGACATAAGAAAAAAAATTAATCTAGGGAAGCTTTGCTTATCCCAAAACAGTACGGTTTGGTTGTGGACCTCTACAGAAATGTTGTAGTTGTAATGACCATCCCCTCTGAGGAGCATCGGTGATGTAGTCCGTGCTCGCTATTTGGGACTCACCCGTATTTTATAAAACAGGAAACCAAATCAGTAACTTACTATACTCTGAAAGGATGAGTCATTGGGAAATACTGAAGCATGTTGAGAGGAGCAAAAGCAGAGCATTTTCCCTTAAAACCACTGTCACGTTGATTCTTCATACTGGGAAAAATCTTAGTGAAGAAACAGTTGAACTGGGACTCCACAGAAAAATAGAACTTATGTCACCGTGCACAGTTTGCTTCCACAGTCCCCCACCTCGTCCCTTCAGGGTCCTAGTTTCCCGGTTCGTGGCGTAGAAAAGGTTCCTGCAGGCCCTGCAGCTGCATCTGACCGAAATTTGGGCACAGTGGGGAGTGGGTGGAGGCCAGGGTGCCTAGAAAGAGGGTCAGAAGACGGGTGCAACGGCGGGTGGTCTTCAGCAGTCCCTTTGCTCTGAGGGACCATCCAGCAAGGGCAGTCACCAGACGTGGGCGTCGGTGGGGTGGGGTGGAACTGCGCAGACATGGTTTCTTGCCCCATATTTTAATCCCTGTCCTGCAGCTCCATTTGGGCAGTTGCACAGGTTGTCTTCGCAGGAATGCATTAGCGCCCTTCCTCCGGGAGGCCTGCATTCCTGCCGCTCCCTTGAGACCCGCTAGTGCCACCCAGTGGCCACTATGTTGTAGTGCCACAGCCAGCCTTCCTGCCTGACAAGATGCCCAGTGTCTGCTTTGGGGAAATTAGCCAGTTAGCACTGCTGATTCCTGTGCACGACTGGAACCCAGACAACTTCCATTACAGAGAAATGGCCCGGCCCACTGGGCAGCTTTCCCTCCTGTAGCCACTCAGGTGCAGGCAGCTCCCTGAGGGCAGGGGAGACCCCTGTGCTGGGCAGAGACACCTCTGCCCCCGATGGACCACTGTGGCTTGGTGGGGCTGGGGCAGCCTCTTATCCCAGTGGTGCCGACGTTGCTTTTCTACGGTAGGGTTTTTTCCCGGTTGGGTACAGAGTTTCCCATGCCCTTCTGTAAGTTCATGCACAACATGATACAGTTAAAAGTGAACTTGGGTGAAGAAGATGCAAATTCAATCTTGGCACTACTCCAAAGAATGAGCTCATTGTCACTGCCCGAGTTTGACACCAGCAGCCCCTGGGACAATGGCTAGATAGGACTTGGGCGGTTTCAGAGTAGAAGGCCTAGTTTGTGTTACCAGACAAGTGAACTGGAGACAGGCTGTTGGGAGTCCACCAGTTTTAGGACATTTTACCAGTGATTTGTTCATTTACTTAATTATACCTATTATGTACTCTGGGTTTTTAAGTTTTTTTAGAGACAGGATCTTGCTCTGTTGGCCAGGCTGGAGTGCAGTGGTGCTGTCATCATAGCTCACTATAGCCTCAAACTCCTGGGCTCAAGCAGTCCTCCCACTTCAGCCTCCCACGTAGCTGGGACTACAGGGACACATCACCATGCCTGCCCAGGTAGTTTTTCTATTTTTTGTAGAGACTAGGTCTCTTGCTTAGGCTGGTCTCAATCTCCTGGGCTCAAGTGATCCTCCTGCCTGAGCCTCCCAAAGTTATTTATATACACTTTGAAGCACAGGTTGACTTTAAAAAAGCGGAAACAGTTTTCCAAAACAGCAGTTTAATAGTTAAGGAAAGCCACCCCCTGCTTTTTTTAATAGGTCACTTGATTCGCTGTTACCACTCTTTTTGGTAATAGGTGATGTTAGTCAAATGTATTAGGAATTCCCTAAAAATCTCTCGACTTGGGTTTCACCTGAATGAGGGAGAAATTACATCATTAGAAGTGTGGATCCTAAACATGGACATCTCGTTCTAATGCTTTCGATTTGGAGAAATGTAGTTAATATTGAAGTTAACACATACTTGTAACCCGAAACAAGGTAAGAGATGTCACTGAACATCTACTTCAGGTCATGTCACACAGGTGTCCTGTGTGCTACATTCAAGGCGTTCTGTTGAGGTTTCTGTAAACACCTTAGGCCAGCTCTTTAGAGTTATTTAAACATGCAGTATTACAATACTCTTGGCCAAGTTTCTAGTTGCAGTGTCTAAACGGGTTTCAGGTTTCAGTGTTCCTGACAGGTTCATTCTTTTTATGACCACCAGATGTCGGTTTCCTGGCAGGTGAAAAAAGTGACACCTCTATAGACCAGTGGTTGGTTCGTTGTGCCCCTGCCCAATGTCAAAATCCTTTTGACGTTTTCCTGTAGCTCTAAAACTTCGTCCTTTCCCTGCCCCTCCCCTCTCATGTCCTCCACTAAGAAAAGTGGCCTCTGCTGATTTTATTTAACCTAAACTCCAGCAATCCTTCAAGTTAGATTCTGCAGACATTTTTAGCTAAGTCTGAGTTATCAAAAATAAATTAGGTATATGGGCTTGATGTGATGATTGCCACAAATGGGAAAGGCAGAGTTTCCTGGACAGTGAGACGCAGTCTCTGCCTTCGCCCCTAGTGAGTCCCTGTTTCCTCTCTTCTCAGATGCTGCCGTTGCTTATGGCATACTGTATTTTAAAAACCAGCTCCCAAAGGGATGAAGCATTCTGAGATGTGGCTGTGGGGCCCAGGAATGCCGGCCCAGACAGACCACCTTTGACAGGCGGTGGGGAGGGTGCTATGGGAAGGAATAGGGATTTGCCTTTTTAGTGAATTACCATTAAAATGATCGTTAGAGAACATATGGGAACTCTTCAAAGTTGGAATTGATGCCTGTTAACACTAATATGTGTCATCCAGAGCTTTGGATCCATGTAGTGCTGTTGTAAGTTTTGTAAGATTAAGGAATTTTATTTCTCCTGCAAAGTGGGGAAAACTCGCAGCCCCCAGGCTTTTAGGGACTTGGCCGTGGCCCTCTGCCAGCACGGCCAGGGCCGGCCTGACGAGTCAGGCCTTGTTTGTGGCTAGGTCTCAGCTTGTCCCCGAGCCTCACACCTCCCTGACGTGTTGGAGGCAGATAACAAGAATAATGAATGGCAGAGGAGCACTGTTGATTCCTTTGTAATCCCTGGACGAATCGGGGGGATTGCTGGAGCAGCTGTTGTGTGTCCCCGGGTAGATACGTGGAAGTTTCAGAGGCTTGCTGCTACATGGATGGCTGGAGCAGTCTTTACCGAGACTTTACCAAGAGGAGTTGTCTTCTCAGTCGGTGCCCTGTGCCTGAATCACCTGCCCTAGGTGGCCCACAGGCCTGGGGCCCACCTGGTCCCAGGCATTTCACTCCTTCGACCCACTACCTGGTGTCCTGCCACGTTCAGCCGTGGCCAAGACGAACGCTGTCCACAAGCACCCTGTTCTCTGACAAGGCACTATAGTGCTAACCTTTGAATGCTGATGGTCTAACAGGATTATAATGTAGTCAATTATTTGCTGGCATATAGAGGTTTTTGTGCGAGTTGAGGACTTTTGACTTTTTGTTTGGGCTTTTTACTACGATCCTTGTTTGGATTAAAAGCACTAATTTACTATCCCCTCCGCGTTACTGAATCACAACTCTCGGGTTGTGAATGGGAACATCTCTGTAACGGCATCCAACTCTCAATATGAAAATATGATTGATGTTACCTGCGTTGCAAATTTCCATCAGCTTTCCTTATTTTTAGTAGTGGTGGTGTCTCCAGCCAACTCGTCCAGAAGGACACGGTGTGTGACACAGACGCCAGCGCATTGCTGGCCTCCAAGAGCCCCTCAAGGGTTTGTGTGTGCATGTGGAGAGAACCTGTCTGTTACTTTCTTGAAAAGATTTAGAAATTCAAGTTTATTTTAAAAATTGCATTTGAATTCTTAATAGTGAAAGTGCTTTTCTAAATCTACCTTTTATTGAAAATGTGAAATTTGTCCTTTAGCTTTAAAGCTTAGCTAGTGATTAAATCAAGCCTTGGTAACTAGAGGTTGGTTATAGTGAAAGGTTTAATGTAACAGGATAATAAAGCATTTTTCTTTCTGAAATAAAGTACAGTCACTATCATAAATGCTGCTGACAACCTTAATTAGACTCCTCTGAATTTTAAGATTTTAAAAATCTTTTTCTCCAAATTTTCTTACTCGATAGCGCCTTCATGCATGTGTACAAGTTTAGGGGCGAGCTTTCGAAGTTGGGTGCAGCGCACACGTTGCCCTCCCCTCACTGCGTCACTCAGTGTGCCTGCCTTCTCCTTTGTAGCCACCAAGGAAGACAGGAGATCCGAGGAGAAATTGGCGGCTGCGGCAACCTCAAAGAAAACAGCCCCTCCTGGCTCCGCGGTGGGCAAACAACCTCCACCTAGAAGTCTCCTTCCAAAGAAGTCTCCCTTCACTAACTTGGCAGCACCCAAACCAGCCATTAAAAAGTCACCCTCAGGTTTCAAGGGGACCATTCCCAAGAGGCCGTGGGCCACTCAGTCAGGTGGAGCTTCCGCTGCCAAACAGGCAGGACCGACGCCTGCTGCTGTGACAGCTGCTTCCAAAAAGTTACCTGGCTCTGCTGCTTTGGTCGGACCCATGAGGAAGCCAGTGGCAACCTCTGTTCCCATGGCATCTCCAGCCCCAGGACGCCTCGGGGCCACAAGTCCTGCCTCGTCACAGCCAAACTCACAAATTCGGCAAAACATAAGACGCTCCTTGAAGGAGATTTTGTGGAAAAGGTGGGCTGTTCTGCTTGGTATCTTCTCAGTTACAGTGGAAGATCTTCCATTTATGGTGTGATCATTTCAGCACTGCCCCAGGGTTTGAAAAATGTAATGTGTGCAAATGCAAGTGGTTTATGTAGTTCCTTTTTTATTCTGTTCAGAGTCAATGACAGCGACGACTTAATCATGACAGAAAACGAAGTGGGGAAAATTGCCCTCCATATTGAGAAGGAGATGTTTAACTTGTTCCAAGTTACAGATAACCGCTACAAGAGTAAATACCGCAGCATCATGTTCAACCTCAAGGACCCTAAAAATCAGGTGTGTGTGTGTGATCAGTGTACGTTGGCGTTTTCCTGACGCAGAAGTGAACTAACTTGCTATGTGGTTTCTGTGAGCTGAATTTTATGGTAATAAACCAAACCGCATTTTGAAACATTCATGTTCCTTCTGTGAAAGCTAAGAAACACCTTTATGCTCTGTGGGCCCCGTGTCACGGGTGTTGAGAGTATTTGTGGGCCTTTCCCCACCCCGACCGGGGCCCTGGCGGTGGTCTCACTGGCTCCCCAGGAGGTCCATTTTTTATTTCACTAGGTGAGTCTAAACATTGCTATAAAACTACAAGCCCATCGTTTAACTGGCTCCAAAACGAAGTTCAAATTCTTTATCCCAGTAGATGGGTGTGTCCATATTCTGGCTTCAGACAACTTTTTCTGCCTTATTTTCTTCACATTCCTCGTCAGCTGAGCCAGCCTGACGGCTGGGGCTCTTCAGAGCAGCGGTGAGGACGACCCTGCAGGCGCTGCCGTTCGCGTGGGGGCTGCTCGGCAGCTCAGCCTCCCCGTGGCTGCAGGGTGGGTGGTGCTGCCGCCACATGATGCAGACAGGAACTGCTGGGAAGGGGCCTGCCTGGCAGGGCCTCTCCTGCCACCAAGCCACAGTCTTCTGGCGTCTCTGTCGGCCTCTGAACTCTACCTCAGTTTTAGATTGGGATTCACATGCTCTGCGTCTCGCCGTGCTTAACAGCCCACTAGCAGAAGTGCTCTCTTCCCGCCTTCATTCCAGATACTACCTGTTTGTCTCGTGTACACGCTTCTGTTTTTCCTGAAGAGAGGTGGGGGCTGTTGGCAGAATCGGTGCAGCACAGGCCTGGAAAGCAGCTGCTTGACCTTAGCACTGACGCTTCCCGGGCCCCCCGTTCGCTCCCAGCTGGGGTGGCCTGGCACAGAACCCCACAGGCCGTGTGGGGGCTGGACGAGGCCACGTCCCTGGCACATGCTGCGTGCAGTTGAGTGCTTGGGTCGTCACGTGGCCATCGACCCTCTGGGCAGGACTTCTGTGCTGCTCTGTTTTTTCCGTATTCGCTCCAAATTAACAGATACTCAAGTGGTTTTTGAACAAGTGAATGAAAGATGTTTGTTTATAGGGACTCTTCCATCGTGTTCTTCGTGAAGAAATCTCTTTGGCAAAACTTGTGAGAATGAAGCCAGAAGAACTCGTATCTAAAGAGCTTTCCACGTGGAAAGAGAGACCAGCGAAGTCTGTGAGTACTTATGGAAAGCGCCTGCCTGAGGCACTGGAGACCTGATTTTCCAGAAGTAAACTCAGACTGCACGCATGATGTTTTCCCCCGAGAAAAGAAGGTTTAAAGCTTCGGTGTTGCCTCTTTCCTTTCAGGTAATGGAGTCCAGGACGAAACTGCACAGTGAAAGCAAGAAGACGGCCGCCAGGCAGGAGCCCATCCCTGACATGGAGGACTCCCCGCCAGTGTCGGATTCAGACGTGAGCATTTGGGAGTCTCAGTGTTAAGAACAGACTGAAATTAGTCCGTTCCAACTATTTTTATGTGTCTTAAATTATTGGAAAGACACTGAGCCTGTTACAAGTATATATAATTCTATTATTTCTCAAGTACTTGTATTCAGTGATTTATTTTTTTTTAATAAAGAGACAGAGTCTTGTTCTGTCACCCAGGCTGGAGCGCAGCGGTGTCATGAGAGTTGACCGCAGCCTCGAACTCCTGGGCTCAAGGGACCTCCTACCTCAGCCTCATGAGTACCTGGGACTACAGGCGCCACCACCGTGTCTGGCTTAATGGTCCCTTTCTTCCCAGTGGTTCTTAATGACATGAGACTTTTTCTTTTTACGTGTGCTGTTAATTTGGAGATAGATTTGGAAAGAAATAACCTACGCTTTTTTTTTTTTTTTTACTTTTAGGAACAGCAGGAATCGGTCCGAGCTATCCCTGAGAAAAACACTGCGCCTCTCCTCGACGTCTTCAGCAGTATGTTGAAAGACACAACAAGTCAACACCGGGCACATCTTTTTGATCTCAACTGTAAAATTTGTACAGGTGAGCACATTTTGGTGGATGAAACTTTGAGGATGAAACTAAACTTGATTTTGTTTAAAATCACTAATCCTGCTAAAAGCAACTGTACTTGACCCAGGTTTGAACAGAAAAAAAAGATTGAGGTGATTTCCTGGAGTCCATAAAGTTACCCCTACCTTCATAGTGTTGCTTTTGGTTCTGGTAAGAGATTGCCTACTCGTGAGCAAGCTGGGCTCTTGAACGTGTCAGATTTCTCAGGACGTCTCCCCTCGTGTTCTTCAGGTCAGGTTCCATCATCAGAAGATGAACCAGCACCAAAGAAACAAAAACTGTCAGCTTCAACTAAAAAGGAAGACTTAAAACCCAAGTATGACAGCTCTCCAGCCGATGCCGTGCCCGCCTCAGCCGATGAGGTGATACTGGAAGCTCTGCCGGAAGATGCTTCCCAGCCAGACCTGGAAAGTGCTTCTCATCCGAACACGGGGCGACAGTATTTCCCTGGGCCTCCTGGAGACAGCCACCCCGAGCCCTCCCTGCTGGAGGACCTCGCCCCCTGCCCAGCCTCCTGTGGGGGCGGGGTGGTCACCACTGTCACGGTGTCTGGCCGGGACCCCAGGACTGCTCCAGGCAGCTCATGCACAGGGCCACCCTCCACAGCAGCCCACGCGGATGGCACCCACACGGGAGAAACCAGAGCAGACGTGCCGAAGCCTGCCGTGACTTCCGTGATGGTGCCCAAGTCCATACTGGCCAAGCCATCCTCGTCCCCGGACCCAAGACACTTGTCAGTTTCACCATCACCAGGCCTCAGGTGTGTCTAAAAGAGCAGAACATTTTATCTTTTAGATTACAAAAGAAAAGGTAATTGGTGATTAAATAGTTCAACTCTGAAATTTACCCCAAAATGTAACTTTTTGGTATTTTAAAAAGGCCCAACTTAGGATGCCTCTTTGTTTTGGAGGTTTAGATCTTGAAAGCTGAAATATGAATTTATGGCCATCTAGGTTTTTTCTTTAACCAAAATGTCTATACTCTTATGATTAAAGGAGTTAATTGGCAAAAATAAGCTACGAAAACTTGGAGGAATTCACTTTTGCTTTTAAGTATAAAGTCTTCATGCTTTGAAATCCTGATTGTACGAAGAGAAGGAGATTTACGTGATTTTTCTTGTGATTTTGTTTTACAGCATCTCAGAGTCACGGTCCCCTCCAGAAGGAGACACGACCCTCTTTTTGTCTCGACTGAGCACCATTTGGAAAGGATTCATTAACATGCAGAGCGTAGCGAAATTTGTCACTAAGGCGTATCCTGTCTCTGGGTGTTTTGATTACCTCAGTGAGGTTAGAACCAAGAAAGTGTGTGTGTGTCTGCATCTTTCACAGCAGTTTCTGTGCTAGAGTCGAGCGCCTGGCGCTCTTGCAGTTGACAATCTGGGTGTGAAAAGCGCCTCTAAAGGCAAAGTAGAGATGGCTGTGGAGAGGAGTTGGCAGAGCGAGCAGATAGGACAGGGACAGAGTTTGAACCTGAAATCAGGCATCTCAGTTACCTGTCAGCTTGGCATTTATGAGATGTGTGTGCACCCAGCCACCAGCACGGCCAGGGACGTGTGCCCTGCCTCAGGAGGGGGCTGGCATGCTAACCCCATGGCAGATCTCTTATTTTTCAAGATTAACAAAAACAGCACTAGCATTTATGACCTTAGTGCAAGGAGTCACCCTGGCGAATGTGGTTGTTGTTATGCGTGTGTGTGCGTAAACGATAACGTGGAAATGTTGGGCAGCGGTTTCTGAATGTAATCTTGTTTGGCAGAAGATGTCATACCACCCTTGGTTTTGGTAACTCATAGTCCTGGATGGTAGTTAACCAATCAACATTTAATACACTCGTTAGCATTTTCTTTGGAATAGTTGTGGCTTTCTTGAATCTTGAGTTATTTGGCACCTTGAAATTACTGCATTAATCTATTTGTGAATACTATAATTTCACCAGTTACTTACTCAAAGTACTTTTTGTTTAGGATTTGCCCGACACAATTCACATTGGTGGGAGGATCGCACCGAAGACGGTTTGGGATTATGTTGGCAAACTCAAGTCTTCTGTGTCTAAGGTATCTGCTTACAGTATAAACTCTGCAACAGTAGAAGATGGTGTATATTTAAATACATTTTTATTTAACCTCTCATTGTGATGGGTGAACGCTTGAAATGTTAGCCTACAACTTATTAGGTATTTCCAGGTAAATGTTAAAAATTAAGTTTAGGCTGGGTGCAGTCGCTCATACCTATAATCCTAGCACTCTGGGAAGCTGAGGTGGGAGGATCGCTTGAGGTCAGGAGTTTGAGACCAGCCTGAGCAAGAGGGAGACCCCCGTTTCTACTAAAAATAGAAAAAATTAGCCAGACGTCATGATGTGTGCCTGTAGTCCCAGCTACTTGGGAGGCTGAGGCAGAAGGATCGCTTGAGCCCAGGACTTTGAGGTTGCCGTGAGCTACGATGATGCCACTGCACTCCACCTGGGGTGACAGAGGGAGACTCAAAAACAAAAATTTAAGTTTATATAGTTACATTACTATTTGAGGATGTATTTAACTTGGGTAACGCAGTGATGGAAGTTTGTTCTGATTTATTGTAATAATGTAAATGCAGTTAAATTTCAGTAAGAAGTATATAAGCTTCATTTCTTTGTTTTTTTGTGATCAAAGGAGCAGGAGGTAGGACTTCAGGAATGAGCAGGCAGAGTGCACAGCCTGGGCTTGTGAATGGGCTTTGGTTTTGTGGGACCCCTGGAATTCAGCTGCAGCTGTGTGCGTGTGTTAGTGTCGTTGAGGAGGCTCTGTCATTGTCATCAGGTCCACAGAGGGCTCGGCCCTCCCGCGTGGAGGTGCAAGATAGCCCTGCAGGTCGCAGCCTCCACACCGTGACCTCAGGCATCAGTGGAGCAAAAGCCTGCTCTGCCCCACGCCGCTAAGCGTGCACTTCACGTGGGTCCTCCCTGATACACGAACTCAAGTGGTGGCTGGCATGAAAGTAATTGTGAAGGATTTCCTGTGGAAACCAGGATTTGGATCGGGCAGTGTGGTGATCAAGCCTGTGTTTTCTTTACCACATTATTTTAACATGTGGGACAACAGGATTGTGGAAAGCAGATTGAGAATTGCGAAAATCTCCCATTTCAGACTGTGACTTTGAGGTTTGGGTACAGAATTGGAAGTGGGTGCTTTTCTCGAGGGGCCGCGGGTAAATGCTCTCCCCACCCTGTCTGTGTTCCAGGAGCTGTGCCTGATCCGCTTTCACCCCGCGACAGAGGAAGAGGAGGTTGCCTATATCTCTCTCTACTCCTATTTTAGCAGCCGTGGCCGTTTTGGCGTTGTAGCTAATAACAACAGGCACATCAAGGACCTCTACTTGATTCCACTGAGTGCCAAGGACCCTATTCCATCCAAACTCTTGCCCTTTGAGGGACCAGGTAAGCAGCGACTTTCTGGGTGATGAGTAGGCACTCCTGCTACCTTACACAGCTCCCCACTGAGGTGGCTCTGCCGCTCGCTTAAACCGTGGCTTTGCTAGATCAGGAATTAGGAGTACAAATGGAGCAGTGTCTAGCAAAAGAACTCATCTTCCAGGGATAGGAACGTGTCACTAGAAATGCCCCTAATAGCAAAAATCGTCTTAGAAAAGTTTTATGGAGAGGGAAAGAACCCGCAGCTTCCACACGGCCTGTCCTGGCCTCAGACCAGTGGACGCTGGGATGCCCAGGAGGCTGAAGGTGAGTGGGAGAGGAAAGGTAACACTTGCTGTGGGCTTCCGGGCCGCGTTCTTCACTCTAGATGGGGTTCTTGTTGTTACTCCTCAGCTCGGGAATGAGCACGTTTCCTTCTGAGGTCATTTCTCTAACAGGGATTAATTTCTAGAAGATACAGAAAATAGTGACATAGAAAAATATTGTTAGAAATAATTTTAAATCTACAGCTCAAATTTTAATAAGTCCATTTGTCTTTGGCAAACTTTGTGTTTGCTCATTCTTAGAAAGTACTGCGTTTAAAGGATTATTTACAAACAACCTAAGAAATATCTCATATTTGTCAAGGGTTGAGAGTGAATCTGGGAGGGTGTGGTCTGTTAGTGTCCAGCTCTTTCCCAGCCCCGTAGAAGTTTCTGTGACTTCGGTTAGGGAACTGGCATCAGATGCCTAAATGGAAGTGTCTCCTTGGCCATGAAGTCCCCAGAGGACTGGTATTGTCCGAAGGCTGATGTGTGGACACGTGCCACAGAGGCAGCAGCCAGCGCCTGAAATGACATGTGCCGCCCAGACCCTGCACCTCAGTGTCCCTTGTCCCCTCGCCAGGCCTCGGCGCATGCCCCTGCCACAGCCACTCCACCTCCCCGGTGCAGTCCTATCTCCCCAAGCACAGCCCACGTCCGATTCTTACTTAACACTTGGTGTGGGTGTGGCTTGTGCCTGCTTCTTGGAATTATGGGCCCGTAAAGGCGTTGCTGACATCAATAATTCCAGGGTTCAATGTTTGCTGGCATGATACATTAAATTATTTAATGCCAAATGCATTTTAAAAGCAAAGTGCTTTAGTGTGTCCTCTCAAGTCCTACTTGGGGGAAAGAGATGCCACCCAGTGGGTGGCAGAAAGAACCTTGGAGGTTCTTGGTGACAGCTGTGTGAAGAGCTCTGGCCGGCCCCGTGTGACCAGGGAGAGGATGTGTCCAGTTCTCCTGGAGGTGAAGACCCAGAAGCTGACCTCCCAGAGCCCCGCGCAGATCGTCCGGTCAGTCGCGAGCGTGAAAGCTTGTGTGTAGGAGCTAACGTGAGCGTACGCTGCCCTGCGTCCTGGAGACACTGCGGTGCCAGATAGCACCTTCCTCTCCGGGGCAAGAGAGCACTTTCTGTTTATAGGATGTGAATGAGTAGGTCCTGAGCCTCCCTTTTTGAAAACATTAAAGCAGTATTTCCTCCCTGCGCCCTCCCCTTCCTGCCCCTCCACGTCAGTGTCGGGTCGTGGGGGTAGGCCAGACCTGGGGCTGCAGCGGGGCCTTGGGGTGTCCCTGCCGTGCACAGGAATGGAAGGAGGCTCCAACAGCAGCCAGGGAAGGGGTCAGGGGAGGCCTGTGAGGCGCAGCCCAAGGCACAGAGGGAGGGGACAGGCCTCATTGGCGCTGCCAGGAGGGCCCTGGGCCCAGCACAGCCAGGCTGGTGGAGGCACTTTCCTCGTTGCTGAGTGTGATGGGCGCTGACCACCTAGACTCAGCCCAGTGACTGGCTGAGTGAATGTCACACTCACCCACCACGACACTTGCTGAGGCCGTGACACTGCCTAATAGGGACACAAAAAAGACCCACAGACTTTTGTCCACAATGAACAATGTGCCTTGGTACAGTAAAATAGGACAAAGGAATTTAGAAAGGTAACAGTCCATGAGATTTTGTCTGAACACTTCTAAAAACTTTTTTTAACTTAAAGACTTTAGTATGATATTTCTTTATTCTGCTGATACCATTGTTGACATTAGTGCGTATGTGTGATCTTTTACACGGTTGCGTGGAGTTAAACGGCCTCCACCAGGCCGGGTAGCTACCCGAGCTGCCTCACATTGGTGGTTTGACTTGGTGTTTTCTAGATACAAATGCACAGGTGTGTGTCCTGGTTTCGAGTGTGTAGTGTGTGTATATGTGTGTGCGTGTGCATGCGTGTGTGTGTGAGAGAGAGAGAGAGAGAGAAAAAGAGAGAGAGAGAGAGAGAGAGGAGAGCCTGGGCACTGGAACCTTTCTCCCGTCTCAGCGGTCCTTGCCCTCCTGGAGTTAGTCTCTGCCCAGAAGCCTTTGGACAGCACCGGCTCCGTCTCAGGCTGGCAGCAGAGTCTTCTCAGCAGGGCCGCGGTTGGGTGTGGGCATGTGCCGCACACACAGCCCGCACTCCGGGCAGCGGCGCCCGCACTGCCTGAGGTCGCATACCAGGCCGTCACCCCTCGGTCCTTTGCAGGGCACACAGCTCGGGCCTGAGGGAGAGCTGGGGCCCCCACCAGAGGAGCCCGGTCTGCGCCAGTGCTCGGGTGGCAGGTCCAGCCTGGCCACTGGGGTTGTTGCACAAGAGAGTGACCCTCACGCATGTGCCTTGCTTTGTGGCGCAGAGCTACGGTGTCCTCACCTGAACTTTGGAACTGAGTGGGTTTTGACAGCATAGCAGCCCCGCCCCCGGTGCCCGCTGCTCACACCTGAGAAGCAGGTGAAGACACTGGAGGTGCTGAGCCGTGCCCTCTTCTCAGGTGAGCTGTAGGGACAGTGAACACGTGGACCTGCGCCCACCGAGCTGCTCAGGCCCCACACGCAGTTCTCAGGCTGCGTTTCAGAGCACGGCCAGAGCCCAGATCTCCCTGAGGACACTTTGTCCTATATGTTTTTGTTTTGTCCGCGAAAGTGCTGGGTTGTCTTGTTCTGTCACACGGTGGCATTTTTAGTAGCATAGTGTTACTTGGAAGGATACTGGAAGCCTGGGTCCCTCTAAGCCAGCTGACCCCTTTTCCACTCAGATGTTGGGTCAGCCCAGCTCCCGTGACACTGCCAGGGTCCCCGCACGGGGCTTGGGGTCGCAAGTCTCTGCATGGAAGAAAGATAAGTCAGGTTGGAAGCTCATCTTGTGGGGTTCTGTATGTGACCCTGATAGGACTGGACCTGAGACCAAGACGCCCACACTAGTGACAGCCACAGGCCACCCATTACTCTGAATCGATGGGACCTGGAGTCTGAATCTGAAATGCCTGTTCAGTGGCTGCAGGGGCACAGAACACGGGCGTGCGGTCTGCCTCTGCCCCAGTAAAGGGCGGGAGGAAGCAGCGCCCTTTTTAGGTGCTCTAATGGAAAGAGTCTTTTTCTCTGAATCTTTCTACACTGCAAAGCACTGGGAGGAATGTTTGAATCTGTAGTGTCTTTGTGTTCACTTTTAACTGCTTTCTAAATTAGCTCGAAAACTTAGACTTCAAATATTGTCAGGTAAGCATTTCTTCAGTTTTTGTGTGTGTATGTATCGATAGCTTTGCACAGAGATTGTAATCAAAGTCAAATACAGCATCGAATGGAATGTACTACTTTCTCTTCCTACATCAATAAAAACATTTCATGGAAACTGGTCATTGTTTGTTTGAATTAGAACCATTTGGTAGCTCTCCTGTCCTAGGTCTACCTTTGCTTTTCATAAGCCACCGTGACGCACCCAGCCCCAGACGCCCACGTAGTAGTTGCTGGATGGTGCAGCACAGCAGGGGGTGGGCAGGCCGCTGCCTGGGGCGTTTCCTGGCACCCAGCATCTGGGAGAAGGTGGACGCACGCTCCTCTTAGCCAAAATGTGCACCGGGCCCAGTGGCTTCTTGTAGGTCTTAGGGGTTCAAAACTGGAGAGCGGGCGGGTCTGCGTGAGTGTGAGTGTGAGTGTGGGTTGGACGAGGTGTGCTGCTCCCTGTATCTGCCACGTCTCTGTCCAAGTCATACTTAAGACTCTTGTTTATTAACTTCCACAGTTTCTGTTCAGCAGGTGTGAAAATTTTGTTCTGACAGATTCAGACCATAGGAGGGTTTTCGTTTTAAATAGTGAATAGTAGAACGTGCCAGATAGATTTAGGATAAAGGAATCATTTTGGCTGCCTTGGGGTTAGGAGGAGTCAGATTTCGGGGGTTTATTCTCTGGAAGGAGCATCGTGCAGTCCCCAGCTCCCGAGGCTGCCCCACCCCTCAGCAGGTGCCTCCACTCAGCGCCCTGCCACTGACACCCTGGACACGAGCTAGTTTTGGTCTCGTCCCGGAGATTAATTGGCACCCAGCTTTTCAAGTACACTCCTTGTCTTTGCTTCTTGGTTTCTTTTCCTGTACGTGTGCACTTGTGACCACTGAGTGAGGCCAGACCCTTCCCCGTGAAGCCTTGACACAGACGTGGAGCTGGAAAGGCTGCTTTCGTCCCCACTGCCATTCGGAAGAAAAGCATCCGTCACCCTCTGGCGCTGTGGAGGGTGTCGGGCAGGGCGCCTCGGTGCCTGTGTTCCCAGGCTGAGCGCCCCTGTGGGCGTGGAGGACGGCAGCTAGTGTTTCCACGTCCCTCCCGCACTGCTCAGTGTCCCCCACTTTACGAACATGGGCCACAGCAGCCCTCAGGAGGGAGGTGGGTGAGGAGGCGTCCTTGCTCCCAGCACCGTCCAGCTGGTGCCTGGTCGCGCTGCAGCCTCTCGCGACACAGGCCGCACCGCGGGCGCCAGCGCACCTCACAGCTGCCGGGACGTGACACACCCTCTGCTGCCCCCCGCCCCGGGTGAGGGGCGCCATTAAGGGCTCGTTGGCCTGGCCTGGCCACGCGGAGCATAGCTAAGCTTGGGGCTCTCCTCTCCGTCTGTGCTTCCTCCATGAATGTCATTTCCAAGCGTTAGTTGTGCTTCATTCACACAGTCATGCAACCACAGCAGACGTGGTCAGAGGGTAAAGTTTGTTTCAAAGCAGGGGTATCCATTTTGGGGCAGCCTGATTTAAATTTAAAATCTTGGGGAGAAATAGTGGGGAACTTCAGAACTGACATCTGATTGGCTTTTTCTGTCACCGGCATATGCACAGGAGACCGTCAAGAGCTGGAAGCATTTAAAAATGCTGGCTGCGCGGTAGCTGCCACTCTAGATAGCTGCGGTTTTCAAAACCAACATAAATACCAGTAACTGAGCATTAGCCTTCCCTGCGAGGGGTGTGACAACAAAGGTCAAAGATTAAAGATTCTTGCCAGGGCCGAGATATACGAATTTATAGATAAGCGTGTTAGGCCATTACAAGTTCTTGTTGGAATGGTGTGTGTCACCAGGCCGGGGCCCCTGTCCTCCTGAGGTTAGCACAGCGATTGGCCCCTTACAGGAAGTTTATTAACCTGGAACTTGGTTCGCGCCCCCTCCCTCAGGCCTGTGGACGTTAGCATCTCCCTCAGTGGGTGGCACGTCCCCGTTGCTAGGACCAGCCCCTGCCGTCCACTGCTCCCAAGGCCAGCCTGGTGTGAGGTTCTGCCGGGAGAGAGCCGGCGGACAGCTGCCTGTACAACTCCGCTCGCGTGTCAGCGTGTCCCCCACCTGTGCCCAGCAAGCTCTGGGGCCATTGTCAACAGACACATTTGGTCCAGAAAGGCCGTAATAGCCAGTTTAACAATTGACCATACCCAAGTTGAATAAGCAGCAAAGTATTCAGTAAACAAATAGCTACCGTGATGAGAAGTGCTATTTTAAATCAAAATATTCTTAATTCAAGCCGGGCGCGGTGGCTCACGCCTGTAATCCTAGCTTTCCGGGAGGCCAAGGCGGG